AACCCTTATTTACTTGGCTCTGAAAATGAAATTTAAGATCCAAAACGGAATAAAAGCCCTATCTTTGCGAACTTCTCCAATGGCATCCGGCACGTGTACTTTCAGCGGCTGAAAAATGTGAAAGATTCAGGTGACGATGACGTCGCTCGTTTTATTCATAAAGTATGCTGTCAATCCGGATTTTATTCACATTGTTAAGCATTGAAGGTTTGAAGGAAATTCTTACCCACATCTTGAACCCTTATTCCTCTTGCAAGGCTTTGATCTTTAACATATACAAACATAGTTTCATAAAACCAATCGTTACAAGTATTTTATTGGTAAAATTCTTTCAACTATCATTTTTAGAGTTAACCTAAATAGGTAACGTTAGGGTAAACACGAGAACTGTTTTTTATAGGATAAGTAGAGAATTTAAAGAGCAAACGGGTCACCTGATGATAAGCAATCGGCTCCTCTCATAGACATTCGCTACACCAGAGGAATTATAAGTGCGTTGCCGAAATATTGGGGTTTAGGGATTTGAGTATTGGGCGTTTGGACATTGAGGAGGGAAAGAAATAGGCCGTCTATCTGACACCAGGCTGTTTTTCATGAACCGTAATAGTTTGGTAGCTGTAGACAGATCATGTATTCTGTTGCCGCTATAACAACAAATACTAAACGCAAAATAAATATATAAGCACCTAATTAGTACAATAAACTTGATTGTGATGCCAATGATGATAAATGAATAAATGGTACAAAACCTCTGGTATTAGACATATTTATGTATGCCATTGGACTACCCTCTTTAATTAATCAATGCTCCATACACCCAAAGGTTGCCTGGTAGATATCGCTTTTAGCGATAAGGCCGCCCTTGTACCCTCTTTATTTTCTGTAATTTGTTGATACTGTATAATTACTCGCTTGGTGTACAATAAAGCATATTATTATTATTATTATGTATGTCTTTACCATTCACGGGACCACAGGGTCCCGGTCATTTGGGAGGCATGCGAGGGGCCGAAGCCAACTGCGCAGAGGCCCTTTAGACAACTTTAATATAAATGTAATGGACACACAAACTGGCGATTGTCCCTGTATGCACTATGGAAATGCACCCAAGGACAGTCTCCGGTTAGTGTAAAACTATTGAGGATAATGGAAAAAAAAGATAGGGCTATGGATGGGTTGCTGTGGACTGGAAAATTGGGAACTATGGATGACTATGGCACCTGCCGAAACAATGTAATTATTACACGTAAAAATGGCAGGCGGAGACTCGCCAACTCACCGACCGGGCCCCGGGAATGGCTGCTAGATATAGCAACAGAGGGGCAACGAGAATGTGAGTGGCTGAAGGGTTAAGAAACTACCACCGCTTTCTACTCAGATCATCTGCTCCAGCCGAAGCCTCCTGCATCCCTGGCCCACTCGCGACTTACGAATAGTTTCTTACCCTCCGAGCAGGATCACTGCTCTCGCGACTCCACTCTGGACGGCCAATGAAGGCAAGCCAGAGGTGGGAGACCTGTTCCTTGTCATCGTTCACTCCAGCCAGCCAATTAAGGCAAGCCGGAGAAGAAGGAACAAGAGCACTCGGGATGATGGTAGCCCGCGGGATCGCTAATGCCCGTCACCTCGCCTCAAGGTGCCCTGCGGGCTTAATTATTATTACCTCGTGGTTGCAAGTGCGACTGTCGGGCAAGGGGTCTCGGGTTCGATTCCCGGGTCGGTCGTCATGCGCACCGAATTCATTCCTTTAAGTACCGCAATAAGTACACCCCAAATGGGTATTAGGCTTCTATTGAACACCTTTTAGCATACATACAGCGAGCGGCTGGATACAGGTCAGTTCAAACCGGCCTATCTGGAAGTCATTGGGGGAGGCCTATGTTCAGCAGTGGACGTCCTATGGCTCATATGATGATGTAAGAGAAACATGAACATACGACGTGCATTATAAAAACTACTAGCTTTTACCCGCGGCTTCGCTCGCGTCACAAAAGAATAAAAAGTAGCCTATGTGACATATACACACCAATACACACAGCGCCATCTATACCAATACTTTTGTTTTTCCTAGGGAATATCAATTTTTTCCGGGATAAAAAGTACCCTATTATTTAATCCAGACTACTAACTTTACGTCTGCAAAAATTCAATGCAATCGGTTTAGTAGTAACGGCGTGAAGGCGGAACAAACAAACAAACAAACAAACTCACTTTCAGATTTATAATATTAGTAAGGATAAAACCCACTACACCTCTGTCGGGATACGCTTCAACACTGGGTAATCATTTGCGACAAACTGGACTAATAAACAATTCATTTAAATCTATTGTATATACTCTAACAATTTAAACTACATCTTAGACTAACCCTTATCTTGAGATCTGTCACCGAATTGTAACAGAGAACTTGGATTATACGATTATACCATCTTGTTAGACAATACAATCTGAAGACAATACAACATTTAAACTATTCATCTAGACAGGACATGATACGCATGTTAACTTGTATAAAAGATAGTCATATCTTGAATAATTATTATTTAAGCTTTGGGCTGGGTTGAGATCTTTTAATTCATCATCATCACGCTTTTTTTCCTCGAAGGGGTAGGTAGTTTGTCGAGTTGTCGCAAGTGCGATTTCCGGGCTAGGGGTCTCAGGTTCGATTCACAAGTTGGGCAAAGATTTGATATTTTTTTTTATTCTCAGTGGTAGCACGGAGTCTGATATTGTGCCCGGTATAGGGCCTATATACCGGCAAATAATGAAAAACAGGGGTTACATTGTACAGTGGCATTAAGTGCCTAATGTGCACCTCTGCCTACCCCTTCGGAGATAAAAGGCGTCTTACTTGAGTGACGTAACACAAGTTTATCTCGATGGTGACAACTTAATTCGATAAACTTTATCGATAAAATGAAATCGATTTATTGGATTTCTTGAAGACTTACTTGTACTCGTTACTTTTTATCTTTCAACTCTTGTAGTTTGTGAATAGTGAATTGCAAATGAGTTTTATCGTTTAGACATTTTGAAATTATTTGTTTATTTGGAAGATGAGTGTCAGTGCGAGTTACTTGATGTCGTGGTGGATAAATGATGATTGTTGCTGCTATTTAAGCATGAAGACGAAAGTTCTAAATCTATTAATTAACAACAAGTTTTTAATATAGGAATGTATGAAGGTGACTTTTGTATGTCGTGGTGGTGAAGTATAAGACGGAGGCTCTCATGCAGCAGAAGTGGGCTTAAAACCTACCAATGGCTAGTACCAATGTGACTTTTTCCGAGTTCTATGTACTTTCTGAGATTATTTTGACACCACTGACAAACGGTAAAGGTAAACATAGTGAGAAAGCATTTTTTAAAGGGAGGAAAATCATCGAATGACTTCACCCGCCCTTAGTGTCAGACTCTTACTGACTAAAAACCACTCCGTTCCTACTCCTGGCCTTCGAGCCCGAGCCCCGGCAACCCATTAAGTCCTCCACGGCTCCGAATCGGCATCAGCCCTATTGGGCCCCTTCCGTGGTGGTCTGATGGCTCGCTTATAATTTTTTATTGTAAGTTTGAAATCGCCAACCCGCATTGAGCAAGTGCGGTGATCAATGCTCAAACCTTCTCCGTGTGAGAACAGGCCTTACTCAGCAGTGGCCTCTTATAAGCTGTTAATATGATGTGACTTTTCCAATTTATAATACGAGTGTTTGTTTGGATTCGAATTTGAATTAATTATTTGGATTCCTCCGAAATATTGTAATTTTGTATTAGTGTGCAAAATGAGAGAGGAGAGGAGAGGCCTATGTCCAGCAGTGGACGAATACAGGCTGATTATAATGATGATGATGCAAAATGTTTTGTGAAATAAGTATTTACTAGTTACATTTATAAACCCACTAACTAAAAATACACATTTATTCATAGTCTCTGCTTACCCCTATGGGAAACAGGCGTGAGGTTATGTATATATTCAGTCCCATACACTATCAAAACATCCCAATGAATTTAGAGCAACCTGTATAAATACCTCTACTTACGTAAGTGCGCTTATAAATGCGCTTAGCATACTGCAGAGGTCTGCAATAGTTAAAAACATATTCTCTATCACCTATATGCTGTATAAAATCTTATATTCTTATACATACTATTCACTATGTATTCTATTATATAAAACTGGACAGTATGTTTGTTTATACGCGCCAATCTCCAAAATTACTGGTCTGATTTTAACAACTTTTTTCGTATTGTGTAGTACATTTACCGAGTTAGGTTGTAGGCAAAAAAGCATCACGCTACAACCTTTAGGAGCAGAGTAGAGTAGGTGAAACTGCGCGGATGTAGTATCACATATGTAGGTAACATAATCTACCTATCTATCGAATGGTTCACTCGTACAATGAATCCTTTGAAGATATTGATATTTTCAATTGTCGGCTGGGTAAATTCAAACGACTTATTCATAACTCCCTTTAGTGATTAATTAATTAATTTCTGTATTTATTACATTCTAATGACAACCTGCGGACAGTGTTTTGGGTTGCATTATTGCCCAAAATGTATCTTGTTTAAACTATGCAGTTAGTAAGACTTTATAATGGAACCGTTACCTGGTCCTCTTAATAAATAAAAAATAATAACAATATAGTCACGTCTTATAAACCGCAAAGGAGTAGACAGAGGTGCACAAATATACAATGTAACGCCAACATTTCTTCAGTTATATTGTGTCCCATATATTGTTACCATATAATATACCTACATGACTGTTTTTTGTTTTCTGAATAGATAAATAGATACCTTTGATCTATACAATACTGTTCCCAGTTACATTCTGAGGCCAATTTAATAGGAAGCTCTATTCCCATACTCTAACAACATCGTACTACAAAATGTATACGAAAAGCACTTGAATAATTTCATTCCACTATTCTATACGCCAATATGAAACTAAAAATTTGGACCACGGTTTTATAACAGCATTAAAGAAAAATAGGACTTACCCATCATGAAATAAGATTCACTGTTAGTTATGTGTCGATTTGTTTTTTTAAACACGATTGTATGCGGAGTGCGGGGGTTGAAATGACGCGACGTCCACCCCTCACAAGGGTTGATAGCGAACTGAAATTCTGGCGTTCGGGAGATCTAACTGTTGCTTATAATAAACTACCTTTGCTCCTGGTATCACTTGTATATTATCTTTAACAATTAAGCATCTATTATTATCTGTGTATGTTTTCGTATTTGAACAATTTATTCGTTTTAATACTACCAGGTATATAATACATAGACATACATAACTTCACGCCTGTCTCCCATGGGGGTAGACAAAGACTAGGGAACGTCAATTATTACGATTCCTACATACCTCATTCGCTTCATCAACAGTCATCAATCTTTTCATGCATGTGCGTCGGTTAAGGGTACTTTTAATTTGGGCGTTCTTTAATATATCGCTAATCTGGTTACTACATGTCCGTCTAGGACGCCCTCTACCGACGGCCCATTCATATCCGCTATAAAGAGGTATATAATATAATGTATACAATTATAATCTACAAAGGTACGGTGTAAAAAATACGGTTGGTGCGGTGGCTGATCTGCCGGCTGCCGTGCAACGTGTCGCGGGTTCGATTCCGCACGGAACAACACTTTGTGTGGTCCACAAATTGTTGTTTCGGGTCTGGGTGTCATGTGTATGTGAACTTGTATGTTTGTAAACGCACCCACGACACAGGAGATAATCCTAGTGTGGGGCAACGTTTTTTAAGAAAAAAAAAGAGTTTTTGATCTTCTTGTTTGGAAAGAAAATTTGGTTAAGAGTCTGTAATAAACTCAAGACTAATTGGCAAGGACAGTAAAAAGATTTTTGCTTGATTCCATAGGCTTTTTGTTAGAAGGGAAAACCATCCAATGATTTCTCCCGCCCGGGTGAGGTGAGAGGGAGTGTCAGACTCATACTGACTGAAAAACCACCCCATTACTACTCCTACTCTTCGACCCCGAGCCACGGCAACCAGTTAGGCCTTCCGCTGATTTTATAGGTTTACTTATCAATTTTCTATGAATAATCTCATACTGATATTTGTAGGGAACTTATACGAGTGTGACAAAATTGGCCTTTGGCTGAGTTCAAAGGGGCCTTTAGCTGAGTTCAAAGTGGCCTTCAGCTGAGCTCATTTCAATTGTTTGATGGAATTGGTCCCTAGAAATGCTCACTTCAGTTTTATAAACATGCCAGGCACCTCTGTATATTAGGTACGTGTCTTCAAAGAATTCTATTATTGAATAAAGAGGTTTCACTAGAAACACAAATTTGAAGCGTGTCAGTATTTTAAAATAGAAGAGGACAAGGGAGACTTTTTTATTTTGTAATAGTAGATTGTGGAAACTATTTTGATCCTTCTTCTGTATAGATAATAATAATACCTAATTATCTGCCGATTTATTTTGTTGCAGGGTCCAATAGTTATTCATGTGCCTGGGACGCACTGGACTTGACCTAGACTTGGTTTTCGTGATAGTGTTTACTGTAGATTCTGGATAAAGAGTTGCAGGTTGCGGTGCGGTTTTGGGAGGCTATGGCGGGCTTGTCCAAAAAAAGTAAATTTCTTTTACTTATTGCTAACTTTAAGTAGTACGTTTTTTGCTCTAAATTAATGTTTTTATTTTGGCGTATTGTAAGGTAATGTACCTATCGTTCACCTTTTCAATAGTATTTTGCCTATTTTCCTACACCGGGCACAAATTGAAACTAGCTTCTACTTCAAAGCAGTTGTTAAATAACTTTATAATAATACAAGAACATTTTTACCTCAGCTATATAAGGTATCAGATGGATTAAAAACTGCCAATCGATTTTGAACCCTACACTGTAGTCTCTAGCTCTTTACTCAATATATGTAAGCTGGTTATGTTATATTATGAGGCTTTAAAATTGGATATCCTTTGCAAGGGGTAAGGTTTAACGAGGAGGTAGAGCAATAAAGTACTACGTTGGTCGAGTAGTGATATTTTGCTACGCGATAACGTTCTAAACAGAGGACATGGTTTCGATTCCTGAGTCGTGCAGTCTTATTTAGAACTAAGTTAACCTATACGGTACCACCCACGCTCTAAAACAGCACGCTAAAAGGCATTCTATTGAGGAGGCACAAAAATGTACTGCACTGTAAAATTAAATGCCTATCGATTCGCAAGCATGCCTGGAATTAGCATGCTAATGTTGAGCAACATCCTGACGCACATGCGACTAAGGGACAAGTGCTCAATGGCAGCATGCCTTGGTAGGTTCTAAGTGTGGGAGAGCCATGCTTCGGCACGAATGGGCCGGCTCGACCGGAGTAATACCACGGCCTCACAGAAAACCGACGTGAAGCAACGCTTGCGTTGTGTTTCGTCGAGTGAGTGAGGTTACCGGAGGCCCAATTACCTTCCCCTTCCCCAATCTTCCCAATCCCTGAATCCCCAACGATCCTCAAACTCCTAATCCCCAAAAAGCCGGTGACGCACTTGTAACGCCTCTGGTGTTCCAGGTGTCCATGGGCGACGCCGATTGCTTACCATCAGGTGATCCGTCTGCTCGTTTACCGGCTTATGCCATAAAAAAAAATTACTTGAAATGAGCATGGCATGTCAGACCTTTAAGATCAATGATTCTTCTTAGAATAGTTATGAGAGCCTCATTCAACTTAGGTAAGCCAGCTTTGATCTCCAACTCGCCTGACAAGCGTGGAGAATTGAAAGTTAATAAGTAACTCCTCTTAGGTAGATTGTAACTGATTGTTGATGTGAGAATGATTCTAAGTAAGTAAATAACATAACGTCATCACGCTTTTTATTCTGGAAGGGATAGGCAGGGGTGTACATTATGCTAAGTACTGTACAATGTACCCATTTTTCATTTTTCATTGCCATATACCGGACACGATTCCAGACTCCGCGCTATTACGCTACAAATGAGATTTTTTTTTAACTTAATAGTACGTTGCCCGACCTGGGAATCGAACCCGAGACCCCTTGCACAACAGTCGCACTCGCGACCACTCCGCCAACGATGCCTCGTTAGACTGCCGTCTAAGTAAGTAAATAACTATGTGCAATATTTTTTTAATGCAACAATTATTTGCCAACGTCTGTGTTTCCTGAAGGGTATATATAGCCTGGCCCGAGTGAATAGGTTGCTTATGGACAGACGTGTTCCATCGTAGGCCGCATCATCGCTTACCACCAGCAGGCGAAATTCGTCAAACATCGACCCATCAAATTAAAAAAATATATTCCATAGCGTACGGCAACTTAAGAAAAAGTCTTGAATGAGGTGAATGACCTCATGAAAAAGAACTACTTTTACGATATGCCTATAAAGTCTACAATAGATTTATTCTTTACTGTTTTTACTTAGTCTCTTCTATCTAAGAAAACTTCTTTCATTAAGTGGTCGTAAACACGAATTGTAGTCAAGTTCAATGCTGCGATGCGTCAGCCATAAGTATTTCGAGAAGTACTTTTTTGCTTGTCTTGACTATAATATAAAGAAACTTACAAATTAATTAGTATGCAAAAACGAAACAATCACTAAATCGAAACTATTTTTTATGGGATAAGCCGGTAAACGGGCAGACGAATCACCTGATGATAAGCAATTGGCGTCGCCCATGGACACCTGGAACATCAGAGGCGTTACAAGTGTGTTACCAGCCTTTTGGAACCAGGAATTTAACAACTGTTTGGGATTCAGTGATTGGGAGACCCTCACCCACACGACAAAACACAACGCAAGCGTTGTTTCACGTCGGTCTTCTGTGACGCCGTGGTATCACTCCGGTCGAGCCGGCCCATTCGTGCCGAAGCATGGCTCTCCCACGCTAAGAATGAAATAACCTTGTTTTCTAACTTTACCCAAAATAAGTGATGCATTAATAACACAATTAATGAAACATTAATTTAAGCTAATGCAACTTAACATTTCCATCTCATAAGTATATTAGTTTGTATCGAAAAGTGCTCAACTTGAGCCAAAGTCACCTTCGTATAAATTTAACGTGAAGGTCTTCGGCCTATTCTGCTTAAGCAAACATAATGAAATAATTGACCTAAGAATACCTAAGTAATATCTATTGCTTAATTGGGGTGAAAATTTTGAAGTTGAATGAAATTCTCAGTAGTAACACGGAGTCTGGAATTGGTGAGCAGTGGCCACTTATAGGCTGTCGTATATGATATGATTCCTGGTGTTAGTAACTTTGCATTCAACCGCAAATATTACTTTCACAACATACCACATCACGCCACGACACTACATCGCACTGCCCCATATTTAGTATATTCAATTTCAGGTTGAAAGCCGCAACGAAAATAACAAGACGTATAGGTACGTGGTATAAGTATATTTGTATGTTGTACCTATATTATAATCAAAACTCAAAAGCATTTATTTCAATTAAACCATAATTTGGTACTTTGAAACGTCAAAAAATACAAAACAAATAATAGTCTGCCCGTCGTTGCAGCTAGGTGTTTATTCCAAAATGTAGATCCGAATAGAGAAGAACTAGCAAGAAACTCCAATCGTTACTCTTTAAATAAATCTGTTTTACAATCTCTCTGATACATATTCCAAATTATATAAAGCAGAAGAGTTTGTTTTTTAGTTTGTTTGTTTGAACGCGCTTATCTCCGTAATTACAAGTTTGATTTGAATAATTCTTTTTGTGTTGGATAGCGCATTTATCGATGATGGCTATAGGCTATAAAACATCATGCTACGACCAATAGGAGTTGCGCAGAGCATCTGAAACCGCGCGAAAGTAGCTAGTATCCTTACTATGTAATATTATAAATCAGAAAGTGAGTTTGTTTGTTTGTTCCACTTTTACGCCGTAACTACTAAACCGATTACTTTGATTTTTTGCAGATGTGAAGGTAGAAGTCTGGATTAAATAATAGGGTACTTTTTATTCCGGAAAAATTTGATATTCTCGAGGGAAAACGAAATTATTGGTATA